GCAATAGCAATAGCAATAGCAGTTAGACTTATATACAGCTTCATAGGGCTTTCAGCCCTCTCTAAGCGGTTTACAGAGTCAGCATATCGCCCCCAACAACAATCCGGGTCCTCATTTCACCCACCTCGGAAGGATGGAAGACTGAGCCAACCCTGAGCCGGTGAGATTAGAACAGCCGAACTGCAGAACTGCAGTCAGCTGAAGTAGCTTGCAGTGCTGCATTTAACCACTGCGCCACCTCGGCTCATAAGGTACCAGTTCTTTCCATCACGGCGTAGAAAGGCCGCCTTTGGATGGCTGAGAGTCACAGCAGAGGAGCTGGTAGATGATGACGCAGAGTAGACAGAGGCAGTATTTTTTCCCCTCACCCTAATTTCCTAGTTTTCTTTCCTTTTTGCTTGGGGGGGGTGGGGGTGTTCTTTGTATTACAAATTACCTTAAGCCCAATATGAGTGCATACACCATGCTTTCTCACCAGAACCCGAAGGAATTTATGACAGATATTTTTTGACAAGGTGGGTGCCAGAAAGGGGATTTCGGAGATCGAACGCTGCTTGCAGTCTTATATTGCTTGTCCTTCTAACACCGGGGAGAACCACTTTGAGAAACAGAACTCCCGTCTCGAAATTTCATTTTATATAGATAGATAGTTGTTGTGGCCCAGCAGGAGCCGTTGGAGCTGCCGATGGACTCCGATAGCGAGGAACCCTATGAGTCGCCTATGGAAGATGTGGAGGACCCTGGGCAGGGTTCAGACTCAGAACAGGGACCAGAGAGGCTGGTTGGCCCCCAGGAGGCGCCTGAGGCATGGAGCAGAGGAGAAGATCAAAGGGAGTTTGTCCCCGACGCCAGGCAACATCGGGCAGAGAAACGGAGGCAGCAGTTACGGAGACAGACTCATAAGAGATAATGAGGTGGTTGTGGCTGGGCTCCTCCCAAGAGAGTATATAAGAAGAGATTTTGGGATGAGTCCTTTTGCACGACACAACCGTTTGTAACAATCTGGAGAAGCTCTTGTCTGCATTGTCTCTTGGTTGCTGCCAAGTTCTTGCCTGTGAGTCGTGTTTTGGGCTTCCAGCCAACAGGTTGAAAGTGGCAAACTACTAAGCCTGTGTTGGCGTTAATCACCGGACGGAGGGGGGGTCAGATCAGATAGTAGAACCTTGGGCATGGCTCTATTTTCAGAGGGTGTATGACAATTCCCCATGGCCAACTCGCTACGACCAACTCACAGCCAACTTGCCATGGCCAACTCCCTGCAGGAGAAGAGTTACACTAATGTCAAAGAAATGGTGGGATAAAATCATTAAAGAAAGGATGCAAAAGAAGGGACATAGTGAAGGTGAATGGCAGAAATTAAAATAATCTTTATTTATTGTAAACAATGAATAGAATTGTTAAATTGTCCCGCAGCAAGTTGTCCCACAGTGAGTTGGCCATGACAAGTTGGCCATAAGGATTTGGCTGTGGCGAATTGGCCGCAGCGAGTTGCCTGTGGCAAGTTGTCCCATTCTCATTCTTTCACACATACAGTATTGAAAAAGGTCAACGTTTCCCTGTCCAGCTGCTTCCAACTCTAGGACACACAGTGCTCAGGCCTGTTTCTTGGCCAAAGGGGCCAGCGTTGTCTGAAGACATTTTCTATGGCCATGTGGCCAGCGTGGCTATATGCCAAAGGTGCACAGAACACTGTTTCCTTCCCACCAAAGTGGTGCCTATTAATCTACTTCCATTCGCATGTTTTCAAACTGCTAGATGGGCAGGACACACATACACATATATTCCCTGCTAAACATGAATATCAGTGAACTTGAGGATTCCAACCAGGATTATCTCAACTTTTTCCCAATGTGAGCCTTATAGCACCAATTAACTTACTTTTTGGTAAAAATAGCATACCTTAAACCCTGCTTAATCTTAACATGTCACCCAAATTACCCAAAACACACACACACCCAAAATCTTTCTATTATATTAGTACCATACTTTCCATGACTCAGGTGCCAAAATTAATTTTAGAAAAGCACAAAAATATTGCCCATTCCTATAACACGAGGATTATTTTTTTCAGAACCTGAGACCGAAGTTCTCACAACGGGAAGATGTATTTGTTAATCTTCATTTGGGCCCTCTCATTTTAAATTGCAATTGAGTTGCATGATAGATTGTTCTATATAACATGTTAGAGAAGCTAGATTGAAGCTGAGTGCCGTTAACCTGCAGATTTCTAGAAAAAAAAATGTATATTTGTATCTATTTAATATGATGCCTTGTTATCTGTTGAATTAGTTCTTCTTTCTATGCAGAGTAATGATGATGGGACAAGTCCCATGACGAAGGTTTTTATTGGCCTGGAAATGTATTCGTGCAATGGTTTGGGCCTTATGGACTTTTTACTTCCCAATGTGTCTCAGGTATATATCTATACATACATACATATTTCTCTCCCCCACCAATACAGATTTTTTTTAAAAAAAATATGAAAACATTTTCTCCTTTTAAAAACTGGAATAAAATTCAAAGGAGATATATTCCAAGTACTACTTACTTGGCTCATCTCCTAAATTTATTTGGTTTATTGTATATTATATCCCACACCTATATGGGATTGCTAATAGCAATAGCAGTAGACTTATATAGCGCTTCATAGGGCTTTCAGCCCTCTCTAAGCGGTTTACAGAGAGTCAGCATATTGCCCCCAACAACAATCCGGGTCCTCATTTCACCCACCTCGG